ATGAAAAATGCAAGACTAACCCCTTATATTCTTAATTTCCCCAATAAGTCAAATTCTGCCCAATTTTGATGAAAATGCAAGGCTTACCCCTTACGTTCTTAAATTTCTCCAAAATTAAAATTTTGCCCAATTTTGATGAAAAATGCAAGACTACCCTTTAACACTATATTTTCTTAATTTCCCAAAATATAGGTCAAATTTTGCCCAATTTTGATAAAAAAGCAAGGCTAACCCCTTATATTCTTAAATTTTACCAAAATTAGAATTTTGCCCAATTTTGATGAAAATGGAAGGCTTACCCCTTACATTCTTAAATTTCTCCAATAAGTCAAATTCTGCCCAATTTTGACGAAAATGCAAGGCTTACCCCTTACATTCTTAAATTTCTCCAAAATTAAATTTTTGCCCAATTCTGATGAAAAATGCAAGACTTACCCTTTAACACTATATTTTCTTAATTTCCCAAAATATAGATCAAATTTTGCCCAATTTTGATAAAAAAGCAAGGCTAACCCCTTATATTCTTGAATTTTGCCCAATTTTGATGTAAATGGAAGGCTTACCCCTTACATTCTTAAATTTTACCAAAATTAGAATTTTGCCCAATTTTGATGAAAATGCAAGAATTACCCCTTACATTCTTAAATTTCTCCAAAATTAAAATTTTGCCCAATTCTGATGAAAAATGCAAGACTAACCCCTTATATTCTTAATTTCCCCAATAAGTCAAATTCTGCCCAATTTTGATGAAAATGCAAGGCTTACCCCTTACGTTCTTAAATTTCTCCAAAATTAAAATTTTGCCCAATTTTGATGAAAAATGCAAGACTACCCTTTAACACTATATTTTCTTAATTTCCCAAAATATAGGTCAAATTTTGCCCAATTTTGATAAAAAAGCAAGGCTAACCCCTTATATTCTTAAATTTTACCAAAATTAGAATTTTGCCCAATTTTGATGAAAATGGAAGGCTTACCCCTTACATTCTTAAATTTCTCCAATAAGTCAAATTCTGCCCAATTTTGACGAAAATGCAAGGCTTACCCCTTACATTCTTAAATTTCTCCAAAATTAAATTTTTGCCCAATTCTGATGAAAAATGCAAGACTTACCCTTTAACACTATATTTTCTTAATTTCCCAAAATATAGATCAAATTTTGCCCAATTTTGATAAAAAAGCAAGGCTAACCCCTTATATTCTTGAATTTTGCCCAATTTTGATGTAAATGGAAGGCTTACCCCTTACATTCTTAAATTTTACCAAAATTAGAATTTTGCCCAATTTTGATGAAAATGCAAGAATTACCCCTTACATTCTTAAATTTCTCCAAAATTAAAATTTTGCCCAATTCTGATGAAAAATGCAAGACTAACCCCTTATATTCTTAATTTCCCCAATAAGTCAAATTCTGCCCAATTTTGATGAAAATGCAAGGCTTACCCCTTACGTTCTTAAATTTCTCCAAAATTAAAATTTTGCCCAATTTTGATGAAAAATGCAAGACTACCCTTTAACACTATATTTTCTTAATTTCCCAAAATATAGGTCAAATTTTGCCCAATTTTGATAAAAAAGCAAGGCTAACCCCTTATATTCTTAAATTTTACCAAAATTAGAATTTTGCCCAATTTTGATGAAAATGGAAGGCTTACCCCTTACATTCTTAAATTTCTCCAATAAGTCAAATTCTGCCCAATTTTGACGAAAATGCAAGGCTTACCCCTTACATTCTTAAATTTCTCCAAAATTAAATTTTTGCCCAATTCTGATGAAAAATGCAAGACTTACCCTTTAACACTATATTTTCTTAATTTCCCAAAATATAGATCAAATTTTGCCCAATTTTGATAAAAAAGCAAGGCTAACCCCTTATATTCTTGAATTTTGCCCAATTTTGATGTAAATGGAAGGCTTACCCCTTACATTCTTAAATTTTACCAAAATTAGAATTTTGCCCAATTTTGATGAAAATGCAAGAATTACCCCTTACATTCTTAAATTTCTCCAAAATTAAAATTTTGCCCAATTCTGATGAAAAATGCAAGACTAACCCCTTATATTCTTAATTTCCCCAATAAGTCAAATTCTGCCCAATTTTGATGGAAATGCAAGGCTTACCCCTTACGTTCTTAAATTTCTCCCAAATTAAAATTTTGCCCAATTTTGATGAAAAATGCAAGACTAACCCTTTAACACTATATTTTCTTAATTTCCCAAAATATAGGTCAAATTTTGCCCAATTTTGATAAAACAAAACAAGGCCTACCCCTTACATTCTTAAATTTTACCAAAATTAGAATTTTGCCCAATTTTGATGAAAATGCAAGGCTTACCCCTTACATTCTTAAATTTTACCAAAATTAGAATCTTGCCCAATTTTGATGAAAAATGCAAGACTTACCCTTGAACACTATATTTTCTTAATTTCCCAAAATATAGGTCAAATTTTGCCCAATTTTGATAAAAAAGCAAGGCTAACCCCTTATATTCTTAAATTTCTCCAAAATTAAAATTTTGCCCAATTTTGATAAAAAAGCAAGACTTACCCTTTAACACTATTTCCCAAAATATAGATCAAATTTTGCCCAATTTTGATAAAAAAGCAAGGCTAACCCCTTATATTCTTAAATTTTACCAAAATTAGAATTTTGCCCAATTTTGATGAAAAATGGAAGGCTTACCCCTTACATTCTTAAATTTCTCCAAAATTAAAATTTTGCCCAATTTTGATGAAAAATGCAAGACTAACCATTTAACACTATATTTTCTTAATTTCCCAAAATATAGATCAAATTTTGCCCAATTTTGATAAAAAAGCAAGGCTAACCCCTTATATTCTTGAATTTTGCCCAATTTTGATGTAAATGGAAGGCTTACCCCTTACATTCTTAAATTTCTCCAAAATTAAAATTTTGCCCAATTTTGATGAAAAATGCAAGACTAACCATTTAACACTATATTTTCTTAATTTCCCAAAATATAGGTCAAATTGTGCCCAATTTTGAAGAAAAAATGCAAGACTAACCCCTTAGGCCCCAAAAAGTCAAATTCTGCCCAACTTTGATGAAAAAATGCAAGAATTACCCCTTAGGCCTACATTCTTAATTTCCTTCAAAAAGTCAAATTCTGCCCAATTGTGATTAAAATGCAAGGCTATCTCCTTACATTTTAAAGTTTCCCCCAAAAAAGTCAAATTTTGCCCTTATATTCTTAATTTCCTCAAAAAGTCAAATTCAGCCCAATTTTGATGAAAATGCAAGGCTTACCCCTTACATTCTTGAATTTCCCCAAAATTACACTTTTGCCCAATTTTGATGAAAAATGCAAGACTAACCCCTTAACCCTATATTTCCTCTAAAAAGTATTTCCTCTAACTAATTTCTCCTAAAAAGTCAAATTCTGCCCAATTTTGATTGAAATGCAAGGCTAACCCCCAGTGGTGCACCCAGGATTTGGCTTGGGGGGGGGGGGGCACACAATTTTTGGTTTCAACTTTTTTAGAAGTTTAAATTTTTTGCGACAAATGTTGCCCAATATTTGGCCGCAGAAAAAAAATGGGTGTTCATTTTCTGGGGGTGCACTATTTTGACGATGGTGGTGCTACTTAAACCCCTATTTTACTACTCGAAAATAGGCCACATACATATCAGTAAGGTCAAATCCTGGGAGTAACTGGGAGTGGTGCGCCACTGTTAAAGAGTTTAGATTAAAATGCATTGTAAACTCGACAACAATCTGATTTTGAAAGGAATGTAGCAATGACATAGGCCCTTTGAATAATAATTAACATACACTGAATTGAGAATACAGTTCATCTAAATTATTCAATTTACTCGGAAGGACATTTTACAAAAATATATATTTACAACAATTTATTAACAAAAAATAAATAGCAAGATTTTATTACGAGTGTATTTTTTATCAATTCTTTAAATATTTGAGTTGTATCAATAAATCTACATTGTATGTCTATAAACTGGCAAAAAATAAACATCATGAAGTACAGCAGTAATACATTTCGGTACTTACATGATTATAAGTAATGCATACAGGGAAAAAAAAAAAAAAAAAAAGAAGACAAAAAACTTTTCTAATAAACCTCAATGATAAAAAATACTAAAATATGATATACACACTATATGCTAATGTGAATTCTGTACACAAATACGTTTATCGTATAAAGTGCCTGTCAAAATATGCAAGTACAGGCTTCCTAAAGAGTGGATACATTTTTGTATGTTTTTATAATTCTTTGGAATTTCTTAATGAAGTATGTTTAGCTCCTGAATTGTGAGGAGGAAAAGTCTGAAATCCCGTTTAGCATCACAAATGGAGAACTGAAGTATGACGTCATTAACCAGCAAGTGTAGTGCAAACGAATGGAGTACGCGTGCATGTTGGTTCACGGGCTAAATCACGCGCTAATGTCTTTCACACACATTTTGTGCGCGTGACGTATTCACTATTCACCATTATGTTTAATATTGTGTCAGATGGCTTAAAGGGAATGTACATCATTGGCTTTTGCTGTAATTTTCAGAATGAACCATTTGAGCGGTTAATATAATAGATCAAATGTTGTTACACTGACATGTGTGAAGTTTTGTGTTCAAAAAATGCTGGAAAAACCAAGAAAAACAAAAAATGTTTAAGTAGTCTGGTTCCCTGACTCCACTAAAGATAAAATGGATCAATTTATAGTTGTCGGAAAATTGTATGGTAAGGGAACCAATCTAGCTGGCCTGCACCCGTTCATGAACATGTAACCAATAGCAAACAAAATTTGGACTGAAAATTGTAAATTTGGAGCAGTAGTTGAAAAATAGTTAGGTTTTTCCAAAGGTGATCGGCCGACAACCGTTGGAAATGTATACAAAAATACAAGTTTTTTGAAAATGACTTGACACCAGGTTCTATAATTTTACAGGATGCCTTAGACTGTCATTTACTAAAGGTATTTTGAAAAAGTTGGTAGTTTTATTTTTCGATGTTTGCAAAAGTTGTATATTCCCTTTAAAGGAAGGCCGTCAGCATATTTTTCCATGGCACAAATTTTAATAACATTTTCTGAGTTGTTTCAACAGAAGACATTTCACAAATATCTTTGGAATGATATGAATAAAAGATTGTTTATAATATTACATTAACCTCACGTTCTGTCTCGTCATTGGCCAAGATAGCATCACATGACCTTTGTAAATTTTACTATCTTAGCATACACTGCTAAAAAGACCTTCGTATTAAAAACCTACTGTACCCACGGCCATCAAAGCGTACCCATAGCAACCTGAGGTGTTTGTGTCGGGAAATTTTCAAAGTTAATTTTCAATTGATTTGAAACTGAAGCACCAGTAAATTTGTATTATTTCAGTTTAATGAATAGATATCTGACACTCGGCAGAATCAATTTGTGAGGTGTTATGAAGTAAATATTAATTGCTTTGACTCGTGACACAGTTAAACCGAGCTTACCTGGATGAACCATGGGCATATCATATTCTATATAATGAACAATTGCCTAAACAGGGCAATATTTTACTATACCACTTCACAGCAGTCAATATAAAAAAATCCCTTTCGCTCAAAGTACAATAGCTTCAATTAAAAAAAGCAAACAGGTTAACTCTAAAACAAGTCTGGGGGAAAAAAGGCCGGATCAAACATCACTTGAAAGTGAACCAATTGAAGTTTCAATGCCACGTTCGCCTTTACCCTAACGAATTCGCTTCGCACTGGAATTCACATGAAGTATGATCCGGAGGCCCCCTTTGATGGCGTAACAATTGTGCTAGCTATTGTTCAGATAATCCGTACTGGGGCAGTAGCCTTGCACAATGGTTCGGCCATTGAAGGGGGCCTCGTGAGTATACCGTGATCATTTGCCCGGATTCGTCTGTAGCTCTGACATGGCAAGAGTCCTGTTTCTTCCTCGGTTGTAGTTATGGACACTTGGACGCATTAGGATACAGCCGGCAATGCAAGGACTTCAATCTACAAACACAAATGGCAGTAAAGACACACCATTAATAAAGTCCATCCGCAATGCAAACCTGGAAACAACTAGATTCTCTGTAATCTGCCGACAATGCTGATAAGACCGATGATTACTTGTTCTATTTCAAGTCGGATGTGAAGAGCAACTGATACCAACTTCCTGTTGGCGACATTTCCTGAGTGACCTCAGATATGTCCAGGGTGAACTGACCTGCCCAAACAAAAATCGTTCATTGGGTAAAGCCAACCCAAAATAGGTCTCGTTCAAATGACACCATTTCCTACAGACCATCCACGTGCATCGGCTTTTTGAGCGTCAACTTGCATAACGCACATCGGCTGCATCGTATTTCGAACACATTTCAAGCAACAAGCACGCGTGCTTGGAACATTTCCAACACTGCGCAATGCGTGTTTGATTGCGTAAAATACGCAGTTGCAGTTCTCCTACAGAAATGGCCGTCATTGAACGAGCCCTATTGTCCTGTGTGGTAAGTACCTCAAGTGCCTACCTTGTTGGGTCCTGTTCTTTGGTGAATGCAGCATTGTGGAGGGTAATTGTGTTATTCCGAGATGCTGAGAGGTAGTAGCTTAACGTCACCTGGTGAGGAAAAATATTCAGAATTCACAGAACGTTTGCATGGCATGTTTTGTGATTTGAACTTTTAAGCTAGATAAAGTTGGGCTTGTCTTTCATCCAAATTGAGTGGGGCAGATCGATTTTTGTATTGTTTTCAAAGAAAAAAAAAACTCCAAAAAACAAATTGGTTTGAGAAAAACCAACCCCCACGGATAAAAAGTAGAGTGCCTATGGGCTCCGTGGGCTGACAAAAGAGGGCGCCCTTTTACCTAGCAACGACGTCCCATGGGCGGGACATTTCGCTGGTTGACGTGCACCGCTCCTTGTGTGTGACGCACGTACACCAGGGGATTTGTACTATGAACACGCAGTGGCCGTGCTTCGCGGCAAATGAATTGTAGTCAGGCAAGATGGCGTTGGTCGGTCATCCCCAACTGTACCTTCTTTGCCGGTGAGGGAGTACTTGTGAATGGAGCGGATAAACCAATATCATGAGGCCCACAAAAAAATGAGGCAAATATGGTTGTTGGTAACAAAGAGCAAGTTGAATCCATGCACCTATTAAAGCTACAGCCCATCATTTGCAGCTATCCAAAAAGTAACTGGCGTAATTATTGTTGAAAAACATACTTGGTTGAAAGATAGTAAAGGGACTAAACTCCCTGTGAAATTATTCTTTCTGGCAAGCTGTCATTTTGAAGAAATCAATGAAAGAACGCCTTCCAACGGTGCGTCTTAAGACGCACGTTCCAACGTCTTAAGACGCACCGTTGGAAATTTCCGTTAGAAGTTCGTTTTTGTTATTCGGCAAAGTGTTGGCACAACGTTGGCACAACGCACACGCGGGCGGTTGCTACAATTCATCGGATCGATGCGCAACTTCGCGTAGCTGCAATCGGCTAAGTGAGAACGTGTCTCGGACGCTGAATTCAGGCCCAATTCAACACATGATTCAGCAACTTTTGATTTGAAATCAAGATCTTAGAATGCCGTTTTTCTCAAAATATACAGCTAAAGCTGAGCTGAAATTTCATCAGGTTAGATGTTCAGCACCCTTCTTTTGATTCTGAGCGCACGTTTTTTGCTTCAAACAAACAAAATGCACAAATTACAAATGATGGATTATACCTTTAAAAGTGAAATGAATTTAGGTGTCATGAAAGTGGTTATTTTCATTAAATTGGAACTGAATAAAAAAAAACCAGTTAAAACACACACAGAAGAATTATCCATACTAATTCTTCAAAAGAATGTGCTATCAAAGCATCCAGTTCATGGACTCCTGCATGAGCGGTAGAGGGCGCTTTTTGACCGCTTTTGAAAGCCCCAGTAAAGGGAGAAGCCTCACATGCGTACTGGTTCGCGCACGTATTGCGCAAAGTATGCAAGACCAAGTTTAGTGCACAAAGCCATAGGGTCTTCGCATGAGCGCCAGGCATTGGCAGAAATGTGTTCCCAGTGGTCTCCCCTCCCCAACTCATAACGTTGAGGGGGTACTTGTTCACGAGGTCCATCAACCAGAACACTACAGGGTGAGTAAAAAAAAACGAAACCCACATATCGGGACCATTGTTTTAGTGAAGTTCTGCATGTAGCACTCTCAAGATCTAGGATATGAAAGCCCAATTCATAAGCTTTCTTTTAGTACAAGAATCATTCAAATCACCCATGTACTTTTCAAGTTACCAAGTTTTAAACACAACCACCGTTTTAAAGTTCTGTCCATGGATCGCAAAAAAAAAAAGGTGTGCGTTCTTTCAGCAAAACGAAAACAATTCACACACATCCTTATGTGATTTGTTTTCGTTTTGCTGAAAGAACACTGAACTTTTTTGTGTCTGAACCTTAAAACGGCAGTTGTGTTTAAAACTCCGTAACTTGAAAAGTACATGAGTGATTTGAATGAATCTTGTACTAAAAGAAAGCTTATGAATTCGGCTTTCATATCCTAGATTTTGAAAGTGCTACATGCAGAACTTCACTGAAACAATAGTCCCGACATTTGGGTTTCGGTGGGTTTTTTTACTCGCCCTATATTGTAAATGACCGTGAGGACTGATCATAGTTGTTTTACCTGTTTAGGTAGCTTGGATTCATCGAATCTATTCAAGCCTTGTAGGTGGGAATTGAAAATGTCTAGCCTCGTCAATGGCACATGTAGAACACCATCTAAGAAATAATGCCAAAAACAAATTCACATATTTACTCGGGTGGGACTCGGCGTATAAGCCGCCCTGTGTATAAGTCACAGTAAACAGTTTCATGGGCAAAATCAACGTATAAGCCGCGGCTTATATTCCGAAAATTACGGTAGTATCCAGACGCCACTTCTTTGGTTGTGTACAAAGTCTATAGAGAGAGGATTACATTTTCAAATTATTTTTTTTAATAAAATTGGAAATGTTTATTGATCTCAAATTCATGTCTTGTCAGTATTTTTGCAATGACTGACCTTCATTGAGATGATATACATATGATGAAAAATGTGGCGTCAGGATACAACATTCTTTCCAGAAATTACATTTAAAATTGAGAGGCCTTACACCCCCCCCCCAAAAAAAAAACCAAACAACAAACAAACAACTGTATTTCTTTTGTTTATCAATCCGGTTCGTTAGTGTGACGCCACCTTTAGCACTTTCTGCATGATTGGAACCAAAAGTTAACGCAGCTTGAGCGGTTGTAGCCAATGGCCGCTAGTAATCAATGGTGGGCGTGCGTGAATGACGTTTTTACTAACGAACCGGATTCTCTTGTTTGAATGATGACCAAAAGTTTCGTTTACCTATAATAAATCCCATGGAAACGTCATCTGGAAGACGGACTCGATCACATTGATTGGTAAACTTGCCTCCGCTGAAACATAAAATCACAAAAGTTTCTATCAACCAGTGGCAAAACAAGTGCATTTTGACATCAAGAGTCGAGATGTGTTGGACCCTTGCAAATTGACAGTACCGGTACATGTACTTGCTGTATCTGCCTTAACCATGAGGGCTACAAATGGCCAATTCCAGGGTCACGTAATATCCATGACAGAGCTATAAGAGCTCAGTGAATAAACCTGAAAATGCATTTCTCAAATCTTATACATCCATCATCTAGTAATGGTCAAGGAGATTAAAGACTAGGAGTTTGGGATCAATTGTAAGATGAAATTTTGCGCCGGGGTGATATAAATCAAATTAGGTTTTGCCCTTCACCGAACTTTTTTTTCCAACTTTGACTTGGGAGGTAACACACTGAGTATACAGTGTTTAAACGTCGGTGAAGGGCAAAACCTAATTTGATTTATATCACCCCAACACAAAATTCCATCTTATAATAGTTTATGCGGTACCCGCTGCTATGTACATCAAATTCGAACCAGCCAACCGATCCCGTTAGCTCTGTGGTCGAGTGGTAAGACATCTGCACTAGAAAGCAGGAGGTCGTGGGTTCGAGTCCCACCTGAGTGGTTTTTTTTCCAACTTTCACTCGGGAGGTAACACACTGAGTATACAGTGCTTAAACTTCGGTGAAGGGCAAAACCTAACTTGAGTTTTGGATCATTTCTGTGAATCATTAATTAGATATCATGGTGAATTGGTTCTGTCAAGACATTACATTTCCTTTCATAAGACTGGAATTGCCCAAATTATTTTGCCGCCATTCATATGAACTAGCTCTCATCTGAGTGTGTCTATTTTGTTCAAATCTGTCTTTTCCAAACAGAGAAAGGATTCAACTCCTTTGCTCAATACAGGGTGAGAAAAAACCCACAAAACTCAAATGTCGGAACTATTGTTTTAGTGAAGTTCTGCATGTAGCACTTTCAAAATCTAGGACATGAAAGCCCAATTCATAAGCTTTCATAAGTAACTTGAAAAGTACCCGTCTTTGAATGATTCTTATACTAAAAGAAAGCTTATGAATTGGGCTTTCATATCCTAGATTTTGAAAGTGCTACATGCAGAACTTCAATAAAACAATAGTCCCGACATTTGGGTTTCATTTTTTTTAACTCACCCTGTATGTGTCGGATCCTTGAAAACAATTTATTAAGAAGGCCAAAATGGTCCAAATTTCATACTCAAAATACAGTCAGTTCTTGGGCACTTTAATGTCCCTATCCATGAGAAGCATCAGAAACCTTGAGCGCTCCTCCACATGTTCATCTGTAAAAACATTTTTGGATGTAGCCCGTCTACTGTCAAACTATTCTAAGGACTAAAACATTCTCATGACATGGGTAATCATTTTACCAGGGGTGATACTCAAAATGAGCATTAATTTGGCAAGTCCAAAGTTGCAAAGAGGAAGAATTGCAGACACGTACCTTGCTAAGGGAGCCATCTTGAGTGCTAGACTGCTACTGATACAGAAGCCAGCTCCACCGGTAGCAAACCAGAAGCTAGTCTCTGCCTGCAAATAAGAAGAAATAAGACGAGGGATATTAGCTCAGAATCAACACTGTCGATGGTGACATTATTACTCTGAAGGGGAAGGGACCTAAAACTATAATGAATGTTAATATTCCCGTAGCACTTTATACAAAAGTCTCCAAACGCTTCACAATATTACCCCGTTTTTTTTTAGGACGTGAGACAAGGTTTCTGCAGCACCTCGAGATCAGTGCAATTAGGGCTAAACCCTGACAGGTACCCATTTATGCTCCTGGGTGGAGAGAGGCAATTGTAAACTGTCTGGAACACACGCACGATGTTCCCTACCAGGATGGGAACTCATGCACAGTCACAAGGAAGTCAAACACCGTAATCACTGGACTATAAAAAAAAAACACTCCACAACTATATGAAGCCAAACCTCCATTCTATTAAGTATAAAATAGCTGAATTGAAGTAAAATCTAAAAGAATGTTGGTTCTAAGGGGGATAAACGGAGAAGCCCAACACTTCATTCAGTATGCCCTGACTGTCATTCTCTTTACAATGGTCAAACATACTGACTGAAACTACAAGATAATCGAGGATTTTTTTTTTCAGAACCACCTATCATTTCAAAATGTATCACCTCACATGGTGTGTTTGCAAACTTCTCCAAAGTGGCATGTCTTTAAATTTGTCCACCAGTGTGTGAATTTTAGAGGTTCCCTCCCAAATAAGCAATTTAAGACATTAAGGCTTCACAGTTTTGAATGATTAGTACAACAATAGAGATGATTTACAGATACACCGCGTAAAAAAGCAAAGAGCCTCTGCACAGAACCAGAGGTATTGACTCAATGTTTTGACTCCATGTGTGCTCAGTGTGCATGCTAATTGCCAAATTTATTTCTATATTTTGTGTTCTCCAAAATCCAAAGTGTCAAACTTAATTCATCTGACAAATCTTCTCATTTACTGCTGTCAGCTACTCACATATCCTTTATCTCTATCCAATGCCTGTATGGGGTGGGTCAGGCTGGCCCGGCCTAGGTACAGATCCTGCTGGTGATTGTAGCCGCGCAACAGTTGCACCAAGTTCAGCACGTTGAGGTAGTTGTCATCATCTAAGTGGCAAAACCACCTAGAAAAATAGCAATACAGAAAGGTGAACAGGATGCCACTGACTTGTTTCTTAAGCTTAAAAAAAATGTGATTTATATAATATTCACAGTTGTCATCCAGTCCACAGAGATAACCATCCACATTGGCAACCAAGCTGTTATTTGAATGTTCTTTACAGACCTCATTCCTGGCAGTCATTTAAGAGGGCACTAGCTGCTTTTGTACAAATTGAAAAGGCAGGAGTAGACCTTTTGAGCATTCACTAGTACAAAATTCTAATAAGGAAGAAAATTAAGATGGCGTCTAAAAATATGGTCTATTTTAAAGGTAGATTTAAGGGATACTTAGAATGGCTAACCCACCTCTTTCCATCTGACCAGTGATTAAAGTTGCATTCTCGTGCTTTTCAACAAACTCAATTTTGTTGGTTTGTTTTCTAATAAATAGCAACTTGTATATGTTATTCCAAACCCAAAACCCTAAATTTGTCCTTTTTTGACAACAGCAACCCTCTGAATACAAGGTTTTTGTTTGGAGCACAGACATATCAGCTTTGCAAGCAGACTGGCTCCCGGTCCATACATATACGATACGGATTGTGGGGGGGGGGGGGAACCAGCCTACCCAGCAATCATTGTCTGGCAGCCAACGATTCAAAATTCCAATAACTAAACATGGGCCAATGTTTTGTTTTCAGTTGACGTCTCATTCAAAAGTGAATTTTCATTTTATTACTACAAAAATAGCAATTAAGAAAAGCAAAATATTTTTGAGGGGATAAAACTCCAAAAAAAAAGCATGCGAATGCAACTTTATTATTTACAGGTATACATGTATTTCTATTAAAAATGTCAACACTTTCTTTTCTGAATTTTCATACAAATTTGTCAATCTCAGTCATGTTGACTCTAGACCTTCGTTGCTCCCCTCAGATAATAATCATTGACTTGGGTGGATACTTATTGAGCAGATTTTTTTTGAGTCCAGGAAAAATATTTCAGAGATGTCCATCAGGTCAGAGTTAAATCTCAAAATTAAAATTTTGCTTTTTCTCATTCATATTCATTCATAATTCATTGACATACAAAAAATATCTGTCCAATGCAATTGCTGACACTGAAATAAGCAAAAGCCAATAACTTTCAAGTCAACGGTGAAAACTGAAACCAAACACCTGCAATAATTTAAATTGGCTGAGCAAGCAGACTAGTTTACTTAGTTAGATTCACTTCTGGCCAAATTAAAGAATCGATTTCAGTTCACAGAAATTCATCAAATTGTTTGCAAAACACAAATTTGATGCTTTTGAATTAATTTTTTTGTTTAGCAAGAAACATGCCATTATTGATGAGGGTCTGCATGTCAAACATGACAAACTGGTTTGGTTTTTTACCCACACTATATAAATATGTTTATGTTGGGCAAGCATTTCAATAGATTAGCACCAAATTACAACAAACAATTTCCAAACAGTAATTGCAAAAACCTGGGCATTTCCCACACCAGATGTTATGGAGCACATAAAATATATCAAAATATGCAAACATGTAATTAACCTTTTCCAACAATTCCAACGGAATGGGCCTTTTGAATCGGATAATTATCACCGGTGAGAAATGAAACATATGTCTCCACATTAGTCATTCAAAATTGCCGCAAACACACAAGCGCTGCATACTTGCAACGAAATACTCTGTGTGCCTGCAATTTTTTATTTTTACTTGCATAAATATTTAATTTCATTACTCACCTTTTTCCCGATTCTAAAAATTTGTCGTATATTACAGCCACTTTACAGCACAGGGCCTGTCTGTAAATGTAAAGAAAAAAGAAGTTACAAGAAAGCAAACAAAACAAGAAAAATTAGGGCCTATATTTCAAAAGTAACATACAATTTTCTCCCCCCCCCAAAAAAAAAAAACACACACGCACAAAACACCAAATATAATTTGTCTTCATGTCATTGAAATAAAAAGATATTTACCAGATTCTGCATTTTCTGATCTTTTAAGAATTTTTCTTTCCAAATACATGTATATTTTGTTTAAAATTCATACTGTTCCAATACTATTATCAATGTAATATATGTTTATTAAGGTCTGAAAACCATTGAAACTCTTTATAATCCATCAGCAATTTTCCCTTTCACGATTGCAGGGTTCGTGTTTCCTAGATGGAGTTTTCCAAAACCATCACCACAAGTAATAATAAGGAAAGAAACCATCTGTCTTATTTTGACATCTCAAGTGTCCAAAAAAACATCTCGGGTTTCACGAAGCCTCCTCAAACTTAATTGGAAATTTAAAAATTCATGAGATATGCTTTCAGAGAAATAGGTGTAGAATATCACGTTGGCTAGGGATGTTGAGCTAACGAGACGCAGACGTGACATCATCTCGGAAATAAGATAAGCATGACATCATCGCCAGAGATGGAGGACATATTTGTCTGATTCGTCAGTGTCTAGATTCGTCAGCTTTCCAATGCGGCAATTTCCGTTTGAATAAACACACGGATAATTTTGCTTTGATAGCAAGCAGGTGACATTGGTAACGACGGTTATAATGTTGGTAATGGTGGGTGCGACGATGGAAAAGATGTGAGATGGTTGTGTTGAGCACGATAAGAGAACAATAATAATAGAAGATAACAATAATAAAAGTATTGATGGTGATGATGATGGCGATTATGAGCGGTTGTCCTGGGGGCTGGAAGGGAAGAAGAAATAGGATCCCCCCCCCCCCCTCGCCTTCCCCCCCCCCCCCACCCCATCCCAACTATGTGACCTGTTGCCACAAATTGAGCATTAAGTCAGACTTTTTAAGAATTGCTATTTATTTATTTCTGGGTTCTGCAGAAGAGCTTTCCACTGGTATACATAACATTTTGGGTTACTGACTTCAGTAATGGAAAATCTGACCGCCAACTAAATTAATGTTACCACAACAAATTTTGAGAAAATGGAATTTAATATTCCTGCTGTTGTGTTGCGACTGAACAGTCAACAAATCAAAAGAGATGAAAATAGGTTTTAAAGTTGTTTGATGGAACACAAACAATTTGGAAAGGTAGAAATGGACTTAGAGATTGAGGTTCACCTGAAAACCAAAAATCGACCACGCCATCAAATTTTGGCTTGAACCCACTGTTTTGCAAAATGGTAATTTACGACTTTATGTTCATTTCATTGTGACAGGTTACATATATGCTACCCCAGTTATTTTACAATTTTATCAACAACAAAAAAGTCTTACATGTATTTTTTTTTTAATTACAAACTATAACAATCAGCTGTGATGATCAGAAACACTGAAAACTGGCCAATGAAATGAGCATGTTTGCTCATAAATATGCAGCCTATGGAATAAAGGTTTATATTCAGGCATGCAACTGTAAAATCACAATAAAAGAGGAAATGCCAAAACTTTGAGAAAACTTGGTACAGTGTTTCTAATTTTCAAAAGGCAGACATGGAACTAGCCCCATAAATGTGGCCAATTTACTGGACTAGGCTACCCGGTACCTCCGTAAATAAAGGCCACACTTCCACCATGTACAAAAACATGTGGAACTTTGTCAAATTTTGATTTTCACATTTAGGCTTAGTTTGAAGTTTATTTTTGCTTTAGAAGCATACTCACCCTCCTTATAGGCTAATCAGAAAGTGCTGCCTCTTTCAGATGTCTGATTTTCATGAAATTTCATGTTGAAATTTTGATACGCAAACGTGTGCAAACAAATCTGGAAATTTCACGAAAAACAGACATCTGAAAAAGGCAGCACTTTCTGATTAGCCTTTAAAGAGGGTGAGTATGCTTCTAAAGCAAAAATAAACTACAAACTAAGCCTAAATGTGAAGATCAAAATTTGACAAAGTTCGACATGTTTTTGTGCATAGTGGAAGTTTAACCTTTATTTACGGAGGTAGTCCAGTAAATTGGCCACATTTATGGGGCTAACATGGAACCAGCTAATCTGAGGAAAACTTGTTTGCCTGTATATTTCTGACTCACCTTGAATGTAGAGCTGGACATTTTGTATTTATTAGGTGGTCTCCTGCAATAAATAAAATAAAATACATAAAAAGTGAATTTCTGGAGCTTCAGAAAAGACTTCAGTAAACTCATTTCACAAAAGAGACTTTAATTTCTTTAAGAAAATTTGGTTACTAATAAACATAGAAAACTTAGGCGCATGCAAATGAAAGCCTTTTTTCACAAAAAGAAGGTTTCACACATTTTGGGGTCGTTGTGTGCGTAGCCTATGGTTGATTTTCCTTCTGTAACTCACCTAATATTTGTTGATAATGAGGATCATCTTGATCAGTGAAGAAATAGGTCTGGAATGGAAAAAAAAACAATAAAAATAAATGTTAGGCTCAGACTCAATTATACATGTAAAGTAACAAATCAAGCTTACTGGTCTTGCACTTCCAGTTCTCCGGTGAGCTTGTTTCTCAGGAAGGTGATATTTGCAGTGAGATCCATTTCTGCCTTGTTAAAGCTGGTTCACACATCAAGCAAAAGCAAGAGTGAAGCAAATTCATGACGTCAACAAAATTTGAAATTTCATTGTGACATTCTCCATTACTTCAAAGAATTTGCTTCATGCTTAAAAGTGTTACGCATGAACCCACCTTTAATGTAGCATGTCAGTTCTTCCAGCGGCGTGGGTGTGTACAATGTTAAGTGCAGAAGTCGTGAACAATACTCTGAATGTTGTTTTATTGAATTGCGTCTGAAAGACACAAATCTGCAAGCGCTCCAACCACAATGGAGGAAAAAAAATGTTCCTTGAGGCATAAATACATTTGCAACTTATGATGTATTCTGAATAAACTTAAAGAATTTTCTTCAAGCTTTCATCTTCCAAACAGAAAAAAAAATTTTAACCATTTTTCTTTAACTTTTACCTTTGATAAGACTTCAGCCTTTTGCATTGAAGTTTTGCAACAGTTTTGCGTTGACCAAAAATGAGCAACAAACCAGTCGTGGTAAAATGTTCTGTAAATGTAGGTGTACGAAACTTAAAACAAAACAAAAAACATTAAACCCATTCTTTTCCCTGTACCAGCTAGACCATAAAAGTACACCAGGGAATTAGTGGTTTCACTGGCTTGGTTCAAAATAAGCTTGATATTTGCCTTTTAGAGGATGCAAAAAAAGCTTCAAGTTAAACGGTTCATGTTTAGGTAGGAAGAATTGCCAATGGGTATACCAGGATTGAGTGGGCTTAAAATTTAGTCAGAGGCACTTCTGGTCACCTTTTCGACCTCAGCGTTTCACAATTTCAGAGTAACATGGCAGGGTTCATGTTCTTTACTTCAATTGATGAGAGTATCAGAAGATGCCATCTGACACTGAACAACTGCACATTCTAAAGAAGGGGAAGGAATGAAGGCCGGCAGACATCATTCAGTTGAACAGTTCTCTTTTTGGAGAGAAGTGTCACTGTGCTTGTAAATGAATCCTAAGTACATTTTCTAACCTTTTTTACCATGTTGGTTGTAATATGTTGGTATCAATCCACCTCCGTCCTCCCCATAAAAAATATAACTTGTTTGACTGAAAATCATGTTTTTTGTAGAATTTTAGACCTGCCAAAAATTTTGGTGACTTTCAGACCTTTTCAGAATGAGATTTCAAACACATTTGGGTTTCATAATCTTATTTTGATATTTGTTGTGACCCCCCCCCCCCCATTGGTTTTGAATATGTATTTATTTTTTGTTTTTAATTTTGTTTAACTTCCCCATCCCTTTACAGCAACTGCATCGCTCCAAAATAACTGTCTAAATAGAAACAGTAACATCTACCGGGTATCTTTCTCGCTTAACAAAGGCATGATGCTAGCAAATTCCTGTCATCAATGTTTACATTGTGTCACAATCTCAGTTTACACAACAAAAAACAGCAATGCAATGCAACGTCATAGCATTATATACACTCAGGCCAATGGTTTTTGTGAAAACTTCTATTAAATCCACTGAAAGTCACGGTTTTCTATCAGTCATTTTCCCCACATGTACTGTAATTTTACTCTATAACCCCCAGCTTAAAATCCAATTCAATCCCCAATGACCCCTTTAACACCCATTCAGTCCCCTTTATGACACCTTTTAATAACCTTTCCATTGTGCGATATTAGACAAATAAGCCCTTAAAAACCCTGTGACCTGCCCAAGCATAAAGGGTTTTTGTGATAGAATCAATATTTTTTCTGGCTTTCATGATTGGAGGGCCCAAATCCCTACAGGATATTTAGAATTGCTACAAACCCAGTCTTGCCCCATATTGTGGTGACCTACTCCGAGGAATTTTGTTGAATATAGTGTTACTATACATTGTGTGTTCCCCGTGCTTTTCAACTGATTAATTTTTTAATCTTAATAAAGTTTCAACTTGTATGTTTTATTCAAACTAAAAATCTCCTGTTTCCATTTTTTTTTTTACATCCGTTTTGGCACAAACAGATCCACTTTGCGAGCAGACTGGCTCCTGGCCCATACATTATGGAAACTGATTGTGGGGACCAGCCTACCCTGCAAGAACAGAATTATTGTTTGGCAAACATGGGCCTACAGTGCATAACTTTTGTATTTCCAGAACAACCTCGATCGGAAGCTGCAGGTGCACAAATTCGTGTCCCTGCATGAGTCATGTGATGAACCATTCTCCTCATTCTTTGCAACCATATCCAAGTTGTTTTCTATTAACTGACATCATAGTAGTACAATCATAACTTAAAGGGAATAGGCCTATACAAAAAACAAAACTACCAAATTATTATGAAATACCTTACTGGACTGTTAGTGAATGACAGTCTAAATCATTTGGTAAAATTGTAGCACTTGATGTGCTGTCATTTTCAAGAAAAGTGGTATTTTTATCAATTTCCAACGCTGGTCAGCCGACCAGCGTTGGAAAAAACTGACTTTTTGTCAACTCTTGCCCCAAATTTACCAAATTTATTCAGTCCATATTTTGTTTTGCAATTGGTTACATGTCCGTGAACGGGTGCAAGCCACCTAGACTGGTTCCCTTAGGAACTTACAATCCCCAACGTCTTTAAACTGCTCCGTTTCATTTCAAGTGGGGTCAGGGAAGCAGACTACAGGAATATGATTATTTTTTGTGGTTTTTCCAGCATCTACGAACACAAAACTTCAAAAAAGTCAGTGAAACAATATTTTCTTTAAAACACTTAACCCCCAAAACCATCAATTCTGAAACTTACGGCAAAAGCAAATGGTGTATATTCCCTTTAAATTCACACAATAAACAACAAAAAACCACAAAGTCTACTCAGGGTGACAAAGTACAAGGAAGAAGACCTATTGTTGCATTTACTGTGTAGACTTTACAATAATGACCCCTTTTTGCATAGATGATAGCATATAATACATGTATTTGTACACCAAACAGTTTAGGTTAGGCCAAAAAAAAAAAATATTCGGTCTCTGGTCAGACCAAAGTTCCGAAATTGACGCGGCGATGCGGCTTTTTTTGGGTTTTTTTTTTTTTTTTTTTTCGTCAAGCTTGGATTGTACAGACAAGGTGGGGTACTATTTTGCTTTTTCGGTGTCCTCATGTACATTGGTGTCCTCCATAATTTGCCTAGGTGCTTTCGATCATTTGCCTTGGGTGCAATTTCCCATTCTTTGGTGCTCTTTGGTAAAACAAATTGAGGAGGTGCGGAAACAGAGGGCGCTGTTGGAGCTACCGCGGAACATTTTGGAAAAAAAAAAGATCGACGCGCATGATTAAAATCGACGCGCGCGCTGACCAGAATGAATCTCCATGTCTAAAAAAAGGTATTTGAAGTAAAATTTGTCGCAGGTAACAGCAGCTGATTTTGCTCTTATGGGAAATGTTGGGTTGTATGAAACTTGACTTCATGCTTAAAAGAAGAAACAGTAAAATCACTTTCCTCCATTGAATTTGCAGTGTTGTTATTATGCAATAATCTTAGGGTTTTTTCCTTAATAATAACAACTGGACATGTGACTTCCAAAGCAGGAACTGAAAACTTAAAAAATCAACAACAGATGTTGATTCTGGCAAAGTTCACAATTCCGGTATCTGTCTCAAGGGAAAAGTGGGCTGGGAGCATTTGGGAATTATTACGAATGACTTCCTTTGTTTCCTGGCCATGATGGTTTCACTGAGTCTGGCCAGGTTACAAAGGTTAGAATGGGTCAGTGGATGCATGGTCAATGAAGGCTGCCGCTGCCAGACTGTCCAAAATATTACTTCCTGTGACCTTAAAATATCTTGAAGACTTGAACCCAACCTCACCTAAAGCTACAAAGTCAACTGTAGTATGAAATACTTCAGTTCTTTATCCCAAAGTAATGGCTAGGACGTTAGTTAATCTAATGTAAGCACTGTGAATTAGTTTATTAGTATGAGCGTTCTTAAATGCCGATTATTATTATTATTATTATTATTATTATTATTAATTCTTTTAAGGACAAAATATCTGAAATTGCACATACAGTGCTCATTCACACTAAAAGTCTGCACACAAAAATACATGACTTTTTTTATAAATAGAGATTTTGGGACATTTTATAGTGGTTACTTTAGAAGCAAGGTTCTCTTTTGAGAGCAAAATCTCCCCCCCCCCCCCAATATCCTAAAACAAAAAGAAAAATGTTTGGGTCAACAACAGTAATTGGAGAGAAGGGAATATAAAAAAACCTAATACAAGGCCATTCAAGATAATCTTGGATTTTCTTTTAAAAGTTTAGATAGCGGCCTAAACTTGTCTTGCTGCGAGGTTCGTGAAAACAATCCTTTGCCTGGGTCCGGTCAATGTCAAAATAATCCTGGCACAAACTGGTTGAACCATGATAGCACCCACACTGATAACCAAAAATGTTTAAAATCTGTCGGGGATAAAACTGTCTGACTCTCTCACATTGTCACATTTGTGGCCAGTCACTGACAGGTCTGAAATTTGACCATCATTAGGAAGAGTTGTCAAAAATGTTGTCCAAAAAAAGGCATTCCATACATCATACTGTATTTTTTGAATACATAATACTAAATGGCAATACATATGTAGGGAGGAGTACCAGCCAGCCTTCCTGGCACCTCGCATCGGCAATCATGTGTATTCAATCATTATTGTGTTCAATAAGTGGAAACTCTTTATCCATGCATGCACTTTACAAGCTCAAATCCATTACAAAACTTTCACTGCTTTTGAAATATCACATTCAACCATGACCTTGAGACACGGTAATTATGACTGGGCACCAACATTTCTTTCAGAAAATCGTGTTTTAGTTACTGACAATCAGTCTTTTTTGAAAAAGTTACGAAAATATTTGGA